GAGAGAGAGAGAGAGAGAGAGAGAGAGAGAGAGAGAGAGAGAGAGAGAGAGAGTTGCTATTTTTCGCTATTCTTTTAATAACAGTTTGATAATGACATTGCAATTTTTTATGGCTATAATGATCATAATTAACTAAACGCTGAGATAACTTGCGTCATTGTGCGTTTACTTCCTGAAAAAAGTAATTCGTACATGAGTAGCGAATAACGTAACCTCGATCGTTACAAGTAACGACGAAAAAAATAATGAGTTACAAATACCGAGTTAATGTTTTCAGCAACGAGTGACTTTTCCAACGTATTACAAACAAATTTCTAACCTTAATGTTACCCACATTACAGTTATAAAAAGATTCGTCATCGTCAGATTGTTGTTATAACAGAGTAACGATAAAGAAAGTAGTAATTACTTGTAATTATAACTTTTTTAAGTTACTTCCCTTTCTTCACTATTATTATATGCATATGCATATATTACATTGGCATAATTTAACGTATCTTATATAAGAGGTACTTGTATAAAAATCCTGTTAAAACTTTTAGTTAGAGCGATTTTGGAAACGCAGTAGAAGAAAATGTACTATATAGGTAAAATTTAGGATGATTCAGAAATGAAAGTACGCTGCAGTAGTTGAAATGTAGAACAACGATTCTAATGTATTATATAGTAATGGAGTAAATTGATTGATATTTAAATTTACTTCTTTATGTCATGTTTTGTATTGTGAGATTAAAATTTGCATAAGTGTAAAATAAAAACGTCGTTTGTAATAAAAAAAAACTTTTACTTTTCATACAAAATTATGATTGCTCCGTAATTTCTTTCTCATCAGAAGATATCGATCAAAACCAATATACGTACAATTATTATTATATTTTTAAGAAAACGACTGCAATGTTTATGGGTATTATTGAAACGTGAAAAAAAGAAATTGTCCGTTTTCATTTTAAAGAAAAACGAATACATTTCTTGGAATATAAAAATAATAAAAATACTTTTTATAGTTAAAACATGTATACATAAGTTTTAGATATGTAAGTCTTTAGTTAAGGGGATCCTAAAGTCTCCTGTATTACCAACAAAATCGTATAATTTTTGTATCGTAAATACTTTCTTTGTTATTCACAGATTCGAAAATCCTTTTACAGAATTAAAGTATACGCAATAATACGTGTCTGTGAGGTAGAATCTATGCTGAAAACGATAAAAAATTTCAAAATTGAGTTCTTCTTTACCATTTTTTAGTCCAATATGGCGCTCCAGAGCTGTTACGTCGTAACAACATTTGTTTTATATAAAAGCTATGCATTCTGTACTTAAGAAATAGTAGTCCATAGATACGTAGTTTGCATGAAGAAACAGCGTGGAGTTCTTAAAATTAGATTTAGATGTCTAATTAAAACATAATTACGGTACAAAAATCTACGTATATGTGTGGCGTGCGTGAGTAAGATATTGATGTAGTGATGTGTCAATGACACGTAATCGTCTATGTGTAAGATATGTCTTAAGGATCCCCTTAACATTATCGTGTAGCTCACCGATCGCCGCGATTGACTCGCGATCTGTAAACCCGAATTCATTCCCACTTGCGCGCACACGCAATTTTTCACGTATAAGGAGTCGAAAAAGGCTTACCTGGTGATCAACACGATCTAGGATCACCAACGCCGTTCAGATCCGGCGTTAAATTGTAGGTCCAAAAGAATTGTAGAAAAGAAAAATTCCTAACAAAAAACCATGAAACAAGACAACTGAAAACTACTTCCATTATTCTTCTCAAGAGAACCACATGAATTCATGACTACTCAGTTAGGGATGAAAATGAAAAAATGTGATCACGAAATGTGAACATCCATTAGTGGATATGCATAAAAAGAAGAAGAAAAAGAAGAAAGTCTCTAGTTAAAACAATTACTGACAATTATTATGCTAACGCAGCTATAATATTTTTAGTTTGATGCGTAAAATTGCATATGATAGATTATATATACAATAGATTGAATCTTAAATTTTCAATTTAATTACGAAATAAAATACAGATTGTGAATAATGGGATTTATAGGGATAAACGACCGTGAGCTTCACCTTGATCTTTCGGAATAAGAAACGGAAGTGATTGAATACATATTGCGGGCACAGTAACAAGTCGAGAATGTTTATACGATGCTGCTGAAAGTGTGCCACAGTGGTTAAGGTCGCCTTGACGGTAAGCATGCCGATCGCTCGTTAGCCCACTTGCCGATAGCACGCCGGTACTGGTTTGTTGAACCCGACAAGTACCGTTACTCCAAAAGGCGGTCATGACCTACTGCCGATCGTAGCGACGACCGGTTCTCGTGTCCGCCCAAAAAAATAATAAATGAAGAAAATAAAAAATTAAAAAGTACAAAAAGGCAAGCAATCAGTGCAATGATCGAGAAAATCGAGGAGTCCATAAGTAGTCAAGAGCATCTACCTTACAAAAGTATTCGGAAACTTTTCGCACGATTATCATTTTACATAAATAATAACATCACTGACAATGAGAAATACTTCTGATCCTCTCATAGATCTATAAAATTCGATCGTGTTAAGTAAAAGAAATTTGCTCTGTATCAACCCAAGTAGTACAAAGCATGAAAAAAATGTATATGAGCACTTCGCAGATGCTGCTGTGCTACTTAAGAAAATTTTTTATATCGCATTATTGTTACACTGACTATTTTTCCTGAAAACTTCGATTTTTATGTCAATTTTGAGTTAACTGTGGAAATTAAAAAGTATTCAAGGAAAAATGACATGTCTATCAATGTTTGATGTGCAGTTTTCATGTCATCTAAATATTTTGTATTTAAAATTTGAAAAAAAAAACATTTTTAGTTAAATACGTCATACCCCGTTTCTTTACCGAAAAGATGACGTTATCATCAGCATTTAAAATTAGTGCTCAAAACGATATATCATGCTAATATTATATCTTTCATAGATGATGATTTTATCGTCAATTTATAAATGATGCAATACATAAATTTGGTTTATAAACAATATAATGCAATCATGAATTAAATGATGTTAATATCAATAATGATGAGGTACAAGGTAACGAAATTGTGAAAGCAACGAGAAAGATTGCTCTCACTGACGACGAGAAACGATGCACGGCGCACCTTTGGAAAACGGTACACGTCACGGCGAAAAAATTACAAAACGAGTTTCTAACTGTATCCTTATACCTGACGAGGGACAAACATTTTCTACTTAGTTGCACGCGATAAATCTAGCGTACAAAATAAAATTTACAAAAACCTCTCATGAGGTCATTGGGAGTGTAACGACAGTTCTTATAGTGACGGAAATTGAGTCAGAAAATCATTTGTAGAGAAAAAAAATTGACATGAGATAAAAAACATTCACATGTTATTTAAATATTTTATGTAAGAGAAATGTGTGTGTGTGCGTTCAAAAGAATTATTCCGATCTAAATTACTGTTTGCAAGAATAAAATGACTTTTTAACTATTTATTTTTAAAACGATAAAATTTGATAAATATATCAGTTTATCAAACGAAAGTAAACACAAGGCAAGTAACTATTAAATGAGACAAAAAATAGGATATATATATTAAATAATAATAATAATAAATTGAATACCAAATATAGATATTGCAAGTACGAATTGCAAAGATTTCATTCCAATAAGAGTTTTGGAAGAATAATTAGATTATACAATAAGTAAATAAAATTATAATATAAATTATCTAGAGAAATATTTTAAATAACAAATATATTGAACGTGTAGTAATAATATATACAACACGAATAACAAAGTTAATAATTAATTGCTCTCTCTTTTAAAGTCATATTATTGAGAATTTAACTATCTGTTTAAGCATTTGACAAAAGTGCATACACACACTTACGTTTACTATAATTTTTGATTAACAATAAAGCATGAAATATTTTATTCTATGTAAGAATTTAAAAAAGAATCACACAGTCACATATACAAATTGAGATATTTTTAATATAATTTCATTAGAGAGCAGAAATGCAAAGAAAGCAACACGTACACACACACACACATTCTCTTTCTTTCTCTCTCTCTCTCTTTTTCAAACACATATATATATATGTATATATTGAAAAATATATATACATAGATAAATAAATGGATAGATAGATAGATAGATAGATATATGAGGAATCCTGCGAATCCGAGAGTGATGAAAAACTATATTACTCACTTAGTTACTTTTCGATAGATTTCCGTGACACTGACTTTCAGTTCTGAAGACGAAATTCTTCGTGGGGTCTTCTATATAGCCTGCAACTACACATGTGGGGGTAAACCGTTCGGCCAATGACCGCTCATCTTTGCAAACATTTTCAATGGAACTATCCAATCGCATCGGGTCGGATTAGCAAGAA